AACTTTTAGTATTAACTCATTTGATATTCATTTGGATTCTGAGTATTGCATTGAAACCAGTTTTGCATCAAATCATAGCCTATCTATAGCTCGACAGTATTGAGACCAATGTTTGGCAACCATTAGACCAATGATTAGATAGTGTTATAGAAGTGGGGGTCAAGTGTGGGGTGAGAGGGGAGAGGGGGCCCACACTTGGCTGCAATCATGTGAGCCTTTGATGGCTTGTGGCAAATGTGTGACCAATTGTCCCAAACTTACGCTAATCTTGACATTCAGACAAACTCCTCATTCATTTGAATCAAAACTTTTCACTCGATATGAGTGATGGCCAGAAGGGACTCCCATCCCATGTCAGCCCTTCCAGCCCTCATCCATACAATTATTTAGAAAAACTACAAATTTGGTTAAATTAATGAAAAGCAGATTAATGTGAAAAAGTGTTTTAGTGAAATGAGTAAACATCTAATCACTGGTTAAAACTATTATGTAATTATAGTCATGAACTTATTGTTAGCTAACACTTCCTAATAACTAATTTATTAAAATATTATATTATAGATACAAACTTATTAATTGAAACTATTTTGTTTCTTATGACAATCCAATCGTTGTTTAATTAAAATTCTAATAAATATCCATTAATTTTCGCAAATTGTTTCATTTGAAATATAGAGCTAATTATTATTTGTTTCATTACTTGTGAACCAATTACATGATTAAAAGTGTAAATAAAGTCTTGTTTTAGTACCGGATATAGCGTAATATAATTGATATAAAATTAAGTTTAGTTTTATTTAAACAAAATTACTTTCGTTTGGTTTATCGCTATTTGGAGTGAAGTCAAGCAAATCAACAACTCTTTTGTCCTGAATTTATTGCAAACTCAATGACTAATCATTTACTTATCATTCAAAACACTATTCTTTCCTAACATTCACTTATCAAACAATATCTAAACAGTTATGAAATCGGTTTATAATTTATATACACAATTGCATTCATTTCTGACTCTGATTATGATTATGCTAGTTCATTTTCATAAATCGTTTATTCTATTGATTTTGTAAACTTTTTAATTTGGTTTTCAATTGCCAAATCTTGACTTGTTTCAATTACAGAAAGACTAATCTACCATTATTTTATAAATTACCTTTTAATTGTAATTTACATTATCATACTTTCATTTTTACTCTCCTTCTTATTAACAAGTATTAAATGAGTGCTAAATATTTTATTAAAATTTATTCAATTTTATCCAACTATCCAATCTGAATGTACAGTAATGTTTGTTGGCATTTATTTCAAATTATGTATTTTAAATATTATTTGTTCATAATTACTAATATGCGATTATACTTACTTAATTGAGTATATAATTATATAACATTGGTTATTTTTATATTTTAATACTGTATGAAGAAAATTTACTCTTAACTAACATGAAAAAATTATTTGTACAATTTTACTATAGTTATAAAATATTTACTTTTTATAAGAACATTGTACAGTATACATACTATGTATTACATAGTATGTAGTATAATTATTAATATTATGAAGCGACATGCTAAAATAATATTTTATTAAAGATAACATATTTTTAATCTTATTTTTATATTAAATCCATTTATGATTCTTTATCAGAACTCTTTTGATTGTAAATAATTTTAATCATATCTCTAACTAATCCTAACAACACATATATTTTTATCGTCTTAATTCAAACTTTTAATTATTCTGATTTTAGATTTTAAAAGTTAATCTCACTAATTCTTAAATCGATACGAAAATTAATTTATTTTCATATTTTTTTTTATAAAATCTGATTATATTGGGAATTATAAAAAGAATATAGACTGCTATATTCTGTATCATAGCAGTCATATAAACGTTTGTATAAAATTGTACACAAATTTTGGTTACTGTATAAATAATTCAAGAATTGTATAAAATAACTTTAAACAATTATATAATAAATAATAATTTTTCTAAATTTAACATCTACTATAAATTCTGACAGCAAAATGGATAATTTATGATATGTTGTGTAGCTCAGTATTACTCAACCAAAAAGTCTACTGTCGCCTCAAATTTGAATCAACAAATATTTTGTTAAAATATTATTTCTAATTTAGAACTTATTTAATATTTATTAGAGATTAGCATAAAGTGATAAATTAGAGGAAAATAGTTTGTTTTAAAAGCCATTTTAAGCCAATTGTGCGTAATTTCCGGAAATAAATCTCTGCCGACAACAGGCTTTGGCTAACTTTTAATGATCTAATGATCGTTGGATTTCATTCAATATTATAAAAACAAATAATGCTTTAACTCTTGTTTCATCGATAAGCAGTTTAATTCATTTTAACCAGTTTTGCATGTTTTCAAACTCAACTTTTAATTAATTAGCTTAACATTTGTTGACTGTTTTTAATTTACTCATGTTTTACAATAGAATTAAAGCATTTTTTATAACTCAGAGCTTTTATTGTTAAATATACTCTACAACTCATATTCAAATCTAATCAAAAGAATTGTTTATTTACTTTTAAATAAGTATCGCAGCAATGGATCAGACTATTTGCTTTTCATTTTAAAAATATTTATATTCCTATATTTTCTAATATATACGATATCTGTAATTGATCAAATCTATTATATAAAGGAAAACATTTTAATATATTAAAGAGTTTATATTTTTAGATTAAAATCATTTCAATACAATATTAATAGTTAAGAATAGAAAGACAAATATTTATTTAGTATTAATTTTGAGGACATAAGCCCAGAGAAGGCTCCCGGGGTTGAGCTGAGGGAACGTAACGAGAGTGGATCCGCTCGACTCCTTAAACTCTAAATTGCCTTTTGATCCCAAGAGTTGGATTGTGTCCACAGTTTTAGGTTCAACAGCTCCCAGAGTTAGTTGATTGGTTTGTGGCCACTCCAGTACTATGGCATACACTGCCTTGTCTTTCTGGGTATACCTATTATATTATAACAAACAAATGACAATAAGAATATTAAACAACACAATATGTGTGTAAACTTATTACCAAACATTTTTACTGATGGTATCATTTTGATGTTTCCAGGGTTTACTGCTATAAATGGACTCTCCATTCACTGTAAGCCAAGAACCAAATTGTCTCAAACGATCCTCAAATATAGGAGTCACTCGCCCGTCATGTGTGGGTCCGATATTTATCAATAGATTTCCTCCGCAACTGTATTCACGAAATTTTATTACAGTAAACAATAAAATGATAAAAACAGTTAAATACCTGACAGTTTGGGCCAAAGTTGAGATTAACTCGTGAACACTTAAATAGTCACTCAATTGTGAATTTCTTCGGTAACCCCACGAACTCTTGTCCAAAGTCATGGCATTCTCCCACTTGTGTGGCTGTAGTACTCCGGGATTGTATCGATCGGCACAACTATAATACCCGCCGTGTTTGCAAGACGTGTTTACACCCCATCTGTCATTCACTACAACCGTGTCTTTTACTGGACTGAAGTTCAAACAAATTCGTTAGTTTTGTTTTATTTTATACTTTAGTTTTGTAGTCTAGTTTGCCTTTCATTGTAAAGCCAGGCCAAGAAGTCAGTACTATTCCAGTAAGTGTCCGGCGCTTCCCAATCGCCATCAGACCAAATCACTTCAGGTTTGTAAGTATTGATTAGTTCTTCTAATTCTGGACGAGCTTTCATCTAATATTCAATTATTTATAGAATTTATATTTGCAAATAATGGGATTACAAAGTATACAATTGAGTCTTGTACATTTTTAGAATAAAGTTAAAGGATACTCACTTTGACAAATTCTTGAGTACTAAACTTATTATTCTTGTCCTGAACATAAAGTGGATTAAACCACTCAAACCATGAATGATATGCACCGAACTTAAGACCTGCTTTTCTTACAGCAGTTGCCAAATCTCCTAAAATTGTAATCTTAACATTAAATAAGTTTATACTCAAAGTTATTCTTAAATCTTTATTTCTAATTTACAAACTTTTCAAAGTTTCAAGAATTTTTAAACTAAATATTTATTATGTATTTTGGTATTCTAGGTATTAAGATATTTTGCTACCATGGTTAGTAAATTAATTGGTTAGATTGGTATTATGACAGACCTAATAAGTCCCGATTGGGTCCAATATCTAATGCATTCCAATTCCAAGAAGTCTTCGATGGCCACATTGTAAAGCCCTCGTGATGTTTACTCGTGAGCACAACATATTTAGCTCCCGAGGCTCTAAACAAAATAAGTGATTTGATTGTCTCGATATTAATGATCTATTAGACACTCACTTGAATATATCGGCCCAATGGTTGGGATCATAGAATTCTGCTGTGAATTGATTAGCAAAGTCTGCATAAGTAAAGTGTGGCTTATAGTTTTGAGTCATAAATTCAATGTATGCTTTTTCTTTGGATCCATTCCATTGCCACCTATATGTCACAGTATATACAGTAAATTGAATTAAGTATAAGATATAAGATATTGTATAAGATATGTTACGAGCATAGAGTGGACAACTAACCAAAACCATTCGTTGCCAAATGATGGCACAGAGAATACTCCCCAATGTATGAAAATACCAATTTTCGATTCATCGTACCAACTGGGAAGTGGTCTCTTGTCTATAGAGTCCCAATTGGGGGCATAGTTTGGTTCCTCTCGCTCTACCACCAACTCATTTGGTAGACAATGAGCCAAAAGAGCCAATTGAATGAAAACAATGAGATATTTAATCGAAACCATCATTTCATTTAATGGTTAACGACTCATATAACAGATCGCCTTAAATACGAGCAAAACGTTTGAAAACTAATCTTTTAGTTATTTAAACGATTAATAACATGATATGTCAATCACATCTACTGTAGTATATGCTAAGTACTCAAATATTTATCAAATATTTGTAAACTTTTATTAGTAATCTCAATAATAATCTTTATCAATTTGATTCAACCAAATTATGTAAACATAATAACTTACAATTTGTATAGAAAGCTATATTGATGTCCAGAATCTAAATCCGTTTACTTAAAGGATATAAGTAATATTAAGTAAAGTAAAACTGATTGGAAATTAGTGATAATTAGTATTAATAGCAAATATTGTACTTTTGGCACAATTGGGGCGATTCAAGTGATAGATATTATATAAACTCTTCATATGTTAACCAATCAAACAATAGATTCTTCGATTTATTGTGATCTTAATTTGGACTTGAAAAGTACTTAGATATACATAAAGAACCTGGGAATAACCTAAAGCTCATGATATTTTTCTGTAAACTGGATGGATACTGTACAGAATAGGTAATACTTATTATTAATAGTTATTATATAAAATACTGTATTATCAATCAAATAGTGCATAGTTTACAGTAATTCCAATGAATTAACAGCGCTTTTACAGACTCAACAACACTTACTACAAGCATACAGTACAGTGTAGATCAAAGTACGGTAGTATTAAATGTGTCAATTTTATTCATTAATAATTAGGTGTCAATTATAATACAAACAAAATAGAGACAAATAAATTAGTCAAAAGTGGAAAACATGATTCAAAAAAGTCGATACATTTATGTAAAATCTGTTTATATATTTATTTTTAATAAAAATCATAATTCAGATAAGATTTAAAATTCATTTGTAAGCCTTGAATGAGTTGATGGACAATAGATGTTATCTTTAACTCATCGGTAGAGTCGCGCCAAATAGCGAAACGATGAGGCGATGAGTTTTGGAGAACTAGACCTGACATACAATATATGAATCAGTATTTGTATATTAATTCATTGAATGAAAGCAATACTTAATGCAATTGGTGTAGAACTCCTCCAACTGTTCCGGAGTGGCAGTCATTATAGTGGTGTTGTTCTGCTGAGGAATTGTCTTTAAGGAGTGGGCTAACCATAACTTTACTAACTGTTTATCATGTAAAACAACATTGTATTAGAGTTGAATCAATTGAATTCAAGTATATAAGGCTTACATCGGGATTCCATTGCATGAGACTCCATAAGATGTCGGACATCTCTGCCACTAAATAAGTGGGCAAATGAAAGAGCGTTGCGTTCACCACTGCGTCCATCAATCGCTGTCCAAACCTCTCCATCAATATCTTGTCGATCAGTTCTTTGGAATACTTGCCGTCAATCAACTCAATCACGAATTTGACGACAGAATTGTTGGCCTCCCTGTGGTCTAACTGTATGGACGCCAGAGTGAGGTTCAGGATATTGTCGAGCATATTATTGGTTAGGAAGCAATTACTGCACTTCTGGAGAGTTCTGTCAACAAATCAAGTAATCAATTGGTTGTCATATTGTATGCTATTAATTGGTATGCACTGCAAGCCGTCAGACATACCGAGTGCATAGTCTGAAGAAGTCATCGATGGTATCGGGATGAAGACGCAGTTGTGAGTCACACAACAGCTTGAATGTAGTCATCGAGAACTCCTGAAATGCATGAAAATGTATTATAGTATAGCACAGAGTATTATAGTGTTTGCATACATTAAGCATGTTAATGAGTCCCTGAGCAGTGGTCTTATCTTGCTCATTGGCAAACTCATCGACTAATATAGAACCCAAATATAGAAAAGACGAATGTTTTGGGAACTGTTGATAAAGAGGTACGATTTGATTGACGATAGGCTGGAGGAGCCACGCGGGCCGGAAGCAGCGGATCAAGAATCGTATGCATCGACAGCACCTCTCTATCAACTGAGGATTGGTAGCGGCGTTGGCTGTCAGTGCAATGCTAGCCAATGGCCACAACTGATCGGTAATTAAAGGAATCAAAAGCTGTGACTGAAGTGATTCCTGAGTTAACCGCAGTTTCCTAAAGATAGCGGCGATTCTATCGAAGTAGACGGCGCTGTGCGTGAAATTGCTTTTGTTGTTCACCAACTCCTGAAGTTTCTCCAAATGAGGTGTTAATAGTTGTGCCACGAGTTGGTCCTGATGTTCGCTTGTCGTCGATATAATGGCTGCACAGCATTGAAGCAGATTATTGGCCGCCTCTTCGTTCTTAATGAAGTCCACTCGACAGCAGATTTGGATTAGGATTGAGACTAAGTTGGCGTTTCCCACCAAATGCTGCGAAGCGCACGACTCTATTATGGTCTGAAGGGATTGGGCCGCACAGGCAGACAACTCCTCGTTCTTCTGAAAGTTTGCGATCATATTCAGCAGGAAATTCAGGATTGAATCCAAGAACACCGGATTGTATTTCAGCCAATCAGAGAGTTCGCCTAAAATGCTGCAAATGGTGGCATAGATTTGGATGTGTTGTGAATTGGGATTCACTGAAGAGTAGTTTAAGGCTAAACTAATAATATCTGCAACCAGTTGATTGTCTTCTTCAGCATTTCTCTCTCCTATAATACAGCTAATCATGAAGAGGTTCGCCTCAACCACTTCCCACGCATTCACAGTCTTTATTGTGTCTAATATATTGTTTCCTAATATATAGTTATTGACGCCAACGGTTGTAATCACTTCTCTGACTAAGTCTTTGATACGACACCTGAGGTCATACAAGTCAGACCTCGAGTCTATGAGGCCCTCGGAGTCGGTCTCTGGTTGACAGTGTTTGGTGAGGGCAGCCAACAGGCGATTGCAAACACCGTTGAAAGCTGTGGCCTTCCGTTTGAACACATATTCACTGAATCGGTACCAGAAGTGAAAAGTGATTTCCAAGATCTCGCAGTCGTAATGTCCGACACAATTGAGCAGAAGGTGCAGAAGCTTCAGATCCACTTCATTGATGATCAACGGGTCGACTATGGATTCGGCCATTTCTGTGAAGATTCGCGTATAGTTCTCCGTCTTTGTTGTGTCCTCTTTGGCCACTGAGTAGTGATACGCGGGCTCTAAGTCATAGACTTGGTTCAGGAGGTAATGAGTCATTTGCTGGTATTTCGTGTATTCCTCGCAAACAATGGCTGCACTACAGACAGTGTTGGCCGCGTAGTCGTGAACAGCGGTCGGACAGTCGGCATTGCGAAGGGACTCGAATACGGAGGACAGTATGGGTTCAATCAGATTGATGTCCGAGTTGTCCATAATGTGAAGCCATGCGCCCAAACACTCGTACACCTTAGAGATGGTCTTCTCCTCCTTCTGGCCACTACTCGGCCGCCAATTACTCTTCGCTTCGTTCAGTGAAGTATTCAAGAGGTGTATGACTTGAGGGGAGATTTGCTTCAAGTAATCGTTGAACGCCTGCCTTCTTCTGATGTCCACTTTAATTGTGTTACGACTGCCTTCGAGCTCTTCGGCCAAACAGATGAGTATTTCGACTAAAATGGAAGCGTTGGGCACCTGAGTGGCCAACTCCTCGATCGGATTCGTCCAATTGGGCACTAATAAGGCTGAAGACATGACAGGTTAGACACAGGGTATGGATGCATGGGTCGAGACAATGGTCAACACAGTGGTCAACACAGTGATCAACACAGTGGTCAACACAGTGGTCAACAAGTGATACCTAAGTAAGTGATGGAAAGGCAGAGCTGTTTCTGGACGACGGACTCGTCGATCACTTTCAAGTGCTTAACGATCGAGTCTTTGAGCGAAACGTACGAGTCTTCGGGCAGTTCGTGGAAATTGTTTTGGATTTTCGTCCGCAGAGTCTGTGCCGCGAAATAACACGAAGAGATGTCCGCGTTGTTCAGCAACAGCTGGTCGGCGATCTTCCAGCCGTAGATGGACTGCTGGATCAACTCCAACGACTTGGAGGACATCTCTTTGGACTCACCATTGGGTTCATTACAGTACAGGCTTTTGATGAGTGAGTAAACTGTCGACAGATCTGGCATTGAGTCCAGTCTTACATCCATTGCTATCTATGACTGTCTATGCGTTCATTAATTCAATTCAATTCAAACTAATCGACACTTTATTACTGTATAGCAGTTAATCGCCATTTATTCAGACCCAACGCTATTTCATGCNTTGAGTCCAGTCTTACATCCATTGCTATCTATGACTGTCTATGCGTTCATTAATTCAATTCAATTCAAACTAATCGACACTTTATTACTGTATAGCAGTTAATCGCCATTTATTCAGACCCAACGCTATTTCATGCAAATTCTTGTTCACATTCGCAAAGTCGTTTCAATGCAATCTTTCTACAAATATTTCTTATATATTCATTCTATTTAACAACCATTTAATTGTTGTCTCGTTTCCTATATTAAAAAGATCGTTATTTATACAGAAACTGATATCAATTTTGGTGTGTTTTTACACATGTAGTCTATTGCAGTTACAGTATATCCTTTGACAGCCACCGCTTTGAGTGCCGGTATATCATAGTAGGCCTCAAAGCCGAACAGATGACACCACTTATTGCACTTTCACTGTATTCATGCAAACACACAGATTCTGTGTACAGAATATTATTGAACATGGTCAAATACAAGCACACTCAAACTCATCATATCATAGACTAAAACTTTGCACAGTATTTATTATATAAAAATATGACCAGGTATATGATGATTATAGAAATGTTCATATGGTATTTGATGGCAGTGCACATGTATTTAGTGTGGACTACCACTCAATCAGTATGTTTTGCATTACAAATGTGTGGTCAATAAATAGTTTGCTGTTTGATCAGTGTTTCCAATTGATTGTCACCATATTTTCCACTATAAAAATGTGCAATAAATGTTAGCATGATACATTCTCTAGCAATTGGCTGGTTTAAATTGAGCAAATTATGATAATTGGATTTAGAGTTAAGTAAATAGGGAAACTATAACTAGTAATATAGTGATACTACAGTAGTATAATTCACTATAAATTGCATACTTATAAAAACATCTGCAATCTGTGCTATGGTTTAAAGAATTGTTGTTTAACATAAAATCTATACGACAGCTTTGTTGTGCATATATTAGTGTACGACCGTGTAGTGTATTAATTATGAGAGAATATCAAATATAATACTTAAATTAAGAGTTTGTAAGGATATGCTATACAATGGTGTGGAGAGTGTGTGTCTGTCATCCGTACGAATCCTTACAGTAATTGTTTGAAAATAAGACTCAATTGAGTTGACTTTCAAAGAGATGTATAATATTAT